ATGGAACAATTTCTTCTTTTTTTTTTTAGACCCATGCGATACTAATATATGCTTTAATAATGGAGTTTGCACGACAACGACAGACCCCGGTGGTACTCTCGATTTTGTGTGCATGTGTCCTGCGTGCTTCACAGGCATTCAATGCCAGTCATGTAAGTCTACAGCATCTTTCATCCTCTTTATTCCGTTCGTCGCCCACGATGGTCGGCTAATGAGCCATCCGTATTTTGTGAGTGATTGACGACAGAACGTTGACGTTGATGTGAAGACTAATCAGGGGGCGAATTGTTTGAAAATCGTGGATCACCAATGACCCGGAGGGAAGGAATTTGAAGGGGTGTGTCCAGTGGTGGATCAAGTGGCACTAACACTAACATTAAACAATATATTATCATGCTTTCTTAAAGCAGGTCTAACATGTATGGAAATGTAAAAAAAAAAATATATTATAACAACAATAATTCATCCAACCTATAGTGAAGTAAAGCTAAAAAGCTAAGTTGTATTTAACGTACGATAACTATATAATACCAAAACCTGATCAACATTAGTTGAACAAACTTTAAAAAAAAAAGTGCGTGTTACTTTTGCTTTTGAAATATTTTCTCAGAACATGTTTTTGTAGTTCCTGGTCACTCAAGAGCGGTTTTAGATCTACCGGTACTTTAATACCTGACTGAAGATTTATACATTTAAATACCGGTACATTCAAAGGATACGGGATGTTCACATAGCTTGTTGTTGTAGGGAAGTTAAAAACAGTGACAATAACAAACACCATATAATCCTGCGTGCTGTGAAGCAGATATGAAATATTATGCTGTATATCAAAACAAATTTAAACTAATCCCCGACATAAAAATCTGAACAAATAGTTAATCAAAGTTTTAAAAATCACACAAAAACGTGCGTGCATATATTTCTATTGCTTTATAGGAATATGTTTTCGAAAGATTTACTAGTGCATTGTATCCCAGGCCCGTATCCAAGAGGGGAGGGGGGTTAGGGTTCGGGAGAACCCCTTTTTCTAGCAAACTCCCTGTTTTCTGGCGAAACCCCTCTTTAACTTTTCCAAATAAGTCCTCCAACCCAACTAATGCACTGCAGACCCACCGAGACACAGACATTTTCAAACATATCTGCTTTTATAGCATTATTTAGGCCCATAAAGCACAAAAATCCTCTTGCTTTGGGGATTTCGCCGACCCCTACCGGGGCTTCGACTGCCATGGAACTCATGCCCAGAAACCCCCCCCCCCCCCCCCCACCCACTCTTGGATGAACCTAGCTATACGGGCCTGTATCCTGATACCAAGAAAGATTTAGTACCGGTACGTGGGCATTGGCAAAAACAAAATTTTGCGAATATTTTTGTATGTTTTAAAGAATTGTAGTTGTTCAGATGACACAGTTGTGTTTAGCAAATTGTTTCCCTATCTTCGTCTGTTTTCACCCATGATTAAAAAAAATACGGTCATGTCATGATAACGATAGGCCTACATTTGATGTCACATTATGTCTACCTTTACTATAATTATGTTCGCCTACATGTTTCCCAGTCGTGTTTTCTCGAAATGTTCACCGTTTGTGGGAGCTTGTGGCGCAGGGTGTAAGCCGTTGGATTTTGATCGTGAGATCGGGAGTTCGAGACTGACGCTCAACGCATTTGCTTTACTTACGTTTGCCACTCTTTACCCAAGAGTATAAATGGGGGAGGGGGTTCATGCTGTTAACCTGCTCGTCGGTGACCCTGCGCGCTACCACTGTTCAGGTCAATTAATAACAGCAACTACAATTGATTACTGTATACGCGAATCGATTATTCGCTAAAAGGAATCTACATTATAAACAACTGTCTGTGTAGCTCCTGCGATTCATACAAAAACGAACCGTTAGGTACGGTGCATACGTGCATGATTTATCCAGTGGTAGTAAGTAGTTACATAATAAGGGCTGCAGAACTAGGTGTTCTGAATCGGACTTGTGTACACAATTTAAGATATAGGGCCTATACAGAAAGACAGCAACGCCATTTACATAAACAAATTTTACTTTTATTTTCAATCCTAGTACAGTACTACTGTACCGTACAATTAGGGCCTACATCCATTAATGATAACAATCGTCGGTTGTGTCGCTGGGACAAAAGCTCATGTTGAAATGTTGTACCTGTATACAAAATATAGCACCTCTCGGTACACTTTAGCATCACAATCAGAACACTTCACGTAAAAATTCTTCCCCTGTGAGTTCCGGGGGCGTGTCTAGGCATCATGATCTTTCATCTAAATTATTCTAAAGTTTAATATTAGAAATTTAGTTTTGTTGTGAGCACCAATGTATACTTATCTATCATAGATGGACATTTGTAAAAATATGAAGAAAATAGTAAAAATCCAGTTAGTAGACCTACATGATTTTTTTTTTATCACAAAATTCCTTATGGGCCGTAGGTGCCTCTTTGTCTCCTTTGTATCCGCCATTGGTAGTTTGTTTTGTTTAGGAAGTCTGTTATAATATAATGTATATATTTAAGACAATTACTAGAAAACATGCTTATCAAATACGTGTTAATTACATTTATAATGTGTGACCCTGCAATGTGTCTAACCAGAATTGTTTGCATAATATCATTC